ACGATGGTTATCCTATCCACTGACTGGCGCCGAAAAGGTCCAGGGAGGCATCTTTTCTCCGCTGCGCCCGCGCGCGACGGAGGGGCTGCGGCGTGTTGGCTCGGTGGTTGGCGCGTCGCAGTCCTGGTTTCCGGGGTGGTTGTTAAGCTACGGTGAGGTCGTGCGGTCCATGCGGGGCGTTTGTGTGGTTAGCCTGGCCCTCACGAAAGAAATTAGGCGGCGCTCACCGGCCCATGGGTGGCGTGCGCCGCTGAGACGGCCGCGCAGGGCACGTGGATTGCGTTATGTGTCGCGTATTGGCTTTGGGTGCGTACCGCGGGGCGACGTAGGCTGGTGGGTGTGTGTTTGCCGGAACCACACGTAGTGGATTTGTCCTTCCCGCGGTGTGTCAAAAGTTGACCTGGAGCAGGAATTTGGATAATTTGATATTTAAAAAACCACACTTTTTCGCGTCATTGACATATAGGTATTTTTTGTGAGTCAAGTGCATCATAGGTCCTTTGACTGTTTTAGATGTATCACATAGGTCCTCGATCTATGAAAAGTGTCGTCCAGGTCCTTGAAGTGCAATATGTGTGACATCTACGTCGTCAAACTATCTATTCAAATCAAATTACTAAACAGTAAAACGGAGCTAGCTACAACTCCCTACAGTGATTTGAGATTTGTAGCCGTCTGATCAAACTAACCAACGTACCAAATAATATAGCGCGCGTCAGGATGTCCGCGTTCTCACAATCCGCTCAATCCACATGATCGGGGCCGCTGCTCCACGGAATGAGCTAGGAGACACATCCTTCGTTGGGCCGAAGGCCTACGCAGCCCACCGAAAGGATTCTTTCCCAGCCCATTCTGTGTGTCCTCATCTCTTCGTGACTCTGCGATGGTTCATCTTGGCGCCGGCGGCGCGCTACCGCTTCCACCTCCGAGTTCTTCGTCTACGGCCTCTAGGAAAACTTTAGCGATCCAATGAGTGGCGGTCCATCGACCAACATCGATGGCAGAGGTCGACGAGTGGGAGGAAGGAAGAGAATCAATCCTCGGGCCTCCACTCTCCACACCAGAGAGAGAAGCATGGGCACGCCACGCCATGGACTGTGCCCCCACGTTGATAACAGTGGTCGCCGGCTCGCCGCTACTGGTGCCAGATCAACTTCAATGACGACGGCCCTGACTCTTCCCATTTCAGCCACTCCAAGTGTAATCGGCTGCGAAGATACGGACGCTGTGGGCGCGACGGCCATGCATGTCTCCATCTCCATGGTCATGGTCGGCAGCAATCCCTTCTTCCTTACCCTGAGTTCGAGATGATTGGTCAAAGATGAAGGAAAACCCCTATCTTTCAAGTAATCTCTTCTTATCTTTTTCCTTCTAAGATTTTCCCTCATATTTTTATAACCTGTTGGATCAAACTATGACGTTTGTATGCTTCCCTAAACATATTGTATCTGGTTCAGATTCTTGGTTTGATTAGAGTATTCCATTCATGTTTTCCCTCGCCCCAGCGGTGCTGCCCCTTCCGCTCGCCGCTCCTAAGCCCACAAGATGATGCGAAGACAAGTCAATTTGGATAAGGTGGAGACTTGCGGCGGCTAACATCTCCTCAATGACATAGTTGTGTCGGCTTGATGCAATGATGCCAGTCCGCCTCTCTAAGCATTAGCTTGTGTTAAACCCTCTCCTGCAACACCGCGGCTATTGAGGTATGTTCAGTGTCCATTGTTATCACTTTGTTGTCTATTGTAAGTGCATCTAGTGCCCCTTAGTAATTTTGGTGTACTGAAGACTTGTAGGTTAAGGGACTGATGCGTTTGTGAGTGTACACAGGTCTATAAGTCTATTAGGAGTTTGATATTTACAGAGAAAGTCGACCCCTAAAAATGAAGTTCTCCGACTGAAGACTTTGGATTTCTGAAGACTTTCTGAAGACTTTGAAAGTGAAGAAATTGGTGTAATCCTGAAGACTTGGTATTCATTCGAGGAACATGAAGCATGAAGACTTTTGTTTTCGTAGTTTCCTTTTCTCTTTCTTGAGTCATAGGAAACACCGTAATTTTAAAGAGGGTCGAGTAAATACTAAGGAAAAATTTCCAAGTGATGCTCAACTCAAATCCTACACCTACCAATCCCTTCGAGTGAAGCCATTGAAAATCTCATACAGTTCAGTGAATTTCATCAATGACAGAGACGAAATTGTTCTGGTCTCTGAGGAATTTGATCTGACTGAGGAGTTAGGAATTCACCAGTGCGGATTGCCTACACAGTGAGGAACATGATAGCCCCGAGGAATTTGATACTCAAAATTACGACCGTTGCTGTGCTATGCGCCAGCTGTCCCAAATATCTACCCACCTAACGGTCATATCATTGAAGGGCATTTATGTCTTATCATGTCGGGCTACTCCCTAGGCTATAAATGACCGCCCCCTACAACCACTAGCTGGTTGGCTGCTCCGAGAGAAACTGACACTTGTCATTTGAGAGCATCCCATCCTCCGAGGACTTTGAGCGAAAATCATCAAGTGAGGAAAACCCAAACCCAAACACCTACAAACCCAAAGTAATTGAGCATCACTAAAGAGATTGATCCTGCGTGGATCCGAAGCTTGTTACCTTTGAAGACTGTGCATCTTCCAGACAGTTAGGCGTCATCGTCTAGAGCATCCAAGAGGAAATTGTGGATCGTCGAGTGACCGAGTCTGTGAAGGTTTCGAAGTCACCTGAAGACTTACCACGAGTGATTGGGCGAGGTCTGTGTGACCTTAGCTCAAGGGGAATACGATGAGGACTAAGTGTCCTGAGCTACGTGTTCAGGACTGGGTGTCCGGGACTGTGTGTCCTCAGGTTTAAATACCTAGCCGCCCTAACCAGACGTACAACTGTCACAACAGTTGGAACTGGTCTACCAAATCATTGTCTTCACCAAGCTACCTGGTTCCATTTCCTCAACCTTTCCATTTCCTCATTTCTGTGTTGTGTGCTTGTTCATATCTGTTTGAAGACTTGGACTGAAGACTTCCTCTATTTCCTCAGTTAAATTTCTTCAGTCTATTTGTCTTTATCATGTGTTATCCTGTGTTTACGCTTTCTGTACTCTGTGCTTGTTTTTGTTTCTTGATGAAGTCCATGCTCATGCTCTGTTATGTTTACTTCTGAGTACTTATTCCGCTGCAAGTAGTTCTTCACTCAGGAATTTCCTCACCCTGAAATTCCTTAGTGAATAATTCATTAAAATCATCTATTCACCCCCTCTAGTCGATATAACACACTTTCAATTGGTATCAAAGCAAGGTACTCCCTTGTTCTGTGTGATTTTGGTTTAACCGCCTGGAGTTTTAGTTATGTCGACCACGGTAATGAAGACTGTGACTTGCCCCATCTTTGACGGTCATGATTATCCCAAGTGGAAGGCCATGATGAAGAAGCGCCTCATGGCGATGAACAGCGAACTCTGGACCGTCACCGAGATTGGTCTTACTGACCTATGCAAGATGGCGGAGGCTGATGATATTCGCAAATACACACTTCTCAACCTCACGACGAAGGACATCATCTGCTCCAGCTTGTCACAAAATCAGTTCAGGAACGTTATGCATCTCAGCCATGCAAAACTCATCTGGGACCGACTTTCTGAGGTCTATGAAGGTCATCGATCTCACCATGATCCCTGGTTCGAAGAATTCATGGAATCACGCAAGGCTATGACTTTCAATCCAGAGTCATCATCCTCTGCACCATGCCTTATGGCAAAAGGTGCCAAGGTAACTGACTGCTACTTATCTGAGTCAAGTGATGATGAATTTGT